CACACTCGCAGTTCAACTTGCAGGGACCGAGCAACGACCAAAACGTGGTGACAAAGACTACATTGAACGGCCTGAGAATGCAGTCATCCTTGTCCAACACAAATCCCACTCACAGAAGAATGAGGCAGAGGCAGCTGGTGGTGTAGGGGTTGGGACTGTAGAAATGGCGTATTATTTACTATTTTTGTATTCTATAATTTAAATATAATTATATTCGATTAATTATTTGATATAAAATTGTATGTAAGCAAAAGCAAGCTATTCAAACACTTGTAATGACTTGTAAGCATTATAAGCAGATATTACACTGTCACAAATTAATAAGTATGTCTTAACCTTGTAATTTAGGAAGTATATTATAATCACTTGTATAACTTGACAATTTATAAAATTATATCAGAAATTGCCAAGTTTTAAAAGTATTTTTTCTTGCTTATTTAACATTGTACTTTCCTTACTTAACCCCCCAGGAAGATTATAAGTAATTGGACAAATTTTATAAAATTTATAAAATATACAAGATTACAAGCAAGTATAATACTTAAGACTTTTTCGTGATGTATATGTTGTATATAACATGAATTAATATGATTTGTGACTGCTTGAATCGGTTTTAGTCTTGGCTTGTAGTCAGATCATGTCTTGCATACCTGCTAATACTGATCACGAACCTAACTCATCCAAGTCTTAATCAGGTTGAAAGACCACTTCAGTCTGAAAAATCAATATAGATAACACCTCGAAAGTGTGTTCATCCCTCAATTCGATAGCCGGTCAGAACGGATGATTCCCAAAACACTCCGTCCTCAACAGGGTGCACAATCCAACTTTATCCTCAGCCTTTCTCATCGACACCGTATCATCAGTGTCACTTACATCACATACATCACATATCTACGACCTTCATATCACTCCTTCTGAGCGCCCAAAGCCAAAGTTAGAACCTCCAAACACCTAAGAAGCATATGTATACCAGTACGATGATACGGATCGTCCTTCGCTGTCTTAACTGACGCGAGTGGGCGCGAGATACATTGAGTGGTCTGGCTTCATTAGGTTTCCGACCTTCGCGCGTGGTTGTGATTGCGTTCCGTCTTGTTCGGCATGCCTTGTGTGAATGAGGTACAGATAGGTGGACGGCAGCGAATCAAAATAGAAGCCAGTTGATTGTATAGGCTCTTGTGTATCTAGCTTCTTGGGTTATCTTGGAAGACCCATACTTGTCGACTTGACTGAATAGCAAGAACTAGGATGATGTGGGCATGCTGGATAAAGATTAAAAGAATCCAAATCCGTCTTGGTAAGCAGTGTTTAATTCTCCACGATCTTGATCACGTGAGGCGTTTTGATCCCCCACTTTTTGTCCGTCCGTTGACTCCGTTCTACATTCAACTCATCATCCCATCGTCATAATCATAGCATGCCAGCCTACACGGCTATTACTGTTCAACTCATGATACGAGATTTTAAACTGTAGCGGTCTTGCAAATTGGCCGACAACGCTGGTATCGGTGTTATTTAGTTTAACTCCGAGATGATCCTATTTCCGGGGCCAAGTGCACTGACATATACCCGTGACGGTGATATGACTACAGCGAGATTGACATGAGCTCCTACTACTAGTGTGCCGACCTAGATTGCACGGACAGCTATGTATGTATGATGCAATTAGCAGCATCGGATCGAATGATAATCCGACGTCGCTGATATCGGTCGTACGAGGTTTAGTGTACATGTCACCGTCGGTGAGAGTCGTAACCTCTTTCCAACGTTTGGTCGGATACACCGGATTATTCCGAAGCTTAGACGGTCGTGAAGGCTGGACATTAGTAAGTTCAAAGCTAGAAGCTAGTGCACTGACGATCTTACAGCGTCAATCATTGAAGCAACAGCACGGCCATAGTGCCGAGCAGAGCATCAAACTGTGGTTCTGAAGCTAGAGGGTTACTGCAGGGCTGAATTCATTACGCTCCGTCTGCCACGGCTTACTCTTGTGTTACTTTTGGTTGCATAGATGTCTGTGCTCTTTTGTTATGTTTGAAACAACTTGCATGCGGACTGCTGAGCTCTCTAATGACGTACCTTGCGAATCTTGCTCGAAGAACCAGTAAGCAAGCATCTATTTCTGCTCGACATAAGCGCGGAGTGCTAGAGAACTGTCATAGGCGTGCTTTGCTGGACTATCGGCACGCCCTAAACGCTCAACCGGAACATCAACACATTCAAGTTGCTACCCGCAACGCTTGACGCTCTTCTCTTGTCGCGGGACGCGACACCACACTCACAGCACCCATTACACATGGTATGAAGTTGATGGAGGCGAACATGAAGACGGGAATGTACGCATTGGTATTGACTTAATGATGCGATCACACTGGCAGTGGTGGCGTCTAACCAAATGCATATCCTTGCACATCCCGCACGTTTCTAGGCCTAGCTCACTCTGCACCAGGCACCATCGTTACCGAAGCAGAGTAGTGACTGCACTGTCAGTACAGTATCGTCCCACCAGCTCACTCCAGCTCTCGGCGAGCATTTACGAAGACAGACTAGCCGCTGGGGTCGCTTGTCAACCTCATGCACATCGTTCTATTTTGATTACTTTACCTCTTTCAGCATCCCGCCGGCTTCCATCATGTGTTGGGTGCACATCAACTCAACTTCCTAACATTATACACAGGCGATTTCCTTTTTAGCCATCAAGGAACCCCGTACAGTTTGGTCAAAGTCCGATGCTTCCGCTTAATTCGATGGGGATATATTTATATTTATGGTGGCAAAGCACTATGCGTCGATCATGGATCGACCATGTCAATAATTGCACTGCAATTCCTGAATTTCATATCAGTATACCAATTATTGGAATTAGTACCCCAAGACCACAGCGATAACACCTATGCGTCACAGCAGGTAATGTCTTATTATTACGAAGCCATTCCGGTATATTACTCACTTAATAACAAAATCGACTACACTCCGCTGATATACTGAGCTACTCTTGAGTATTAAGGTTGATGGATCACTCTTCTCTGTAAATCTTACAGTTGAGTGTGATGTACTGATATATGCACTGATGTCTGATATATATTCTCTTCCATCTCAGCTGTCTTCAGCTTTTTATCCACTGTAACTTCATATCCACTACATAGATGTACACTGACTCGAACTGAGATTCGTATAAGACCTACTTTTTATATGAAGGAACACAGCAAAAAACACAAGAATATGGAACGGATGCTACATTTTAAACATCATATGTTCAAGCCCCTGTATGCAAAACATATGTAAATGTCTTGCCAGCCGGCCAAACGCGCGCCCGTCCGTTGACAACGTAGCTCCAAGCCAGACACCAAAACACCAAAACATCGAACATCACTCCTTCCTGACATGCCGTGGCACAGAAGCCGAAATTGCCACGAAGGACACGAATCGAAGCCGAAGTCATCGAAGCTTCAAAACTGATACACAGTATACAGCACAGTACACATCACCACGCTACTGTGCGTCAATCACGGAATCAACATAAGAAGGAGGAGAAGCGGTAGGAATAGAAGAGGGGAGTGGATTCGTTGCTGGCAGACGGACAAGGGATAATCATGATATCATTAATATCCGAGTCTAGTGTTAGTATTATTGATGTTATGGAAGAGTGTACTATGGGGGAATAACTTAATATTGATACCTCAGACTCACAAGCCCACAAACTTATGCATATGTTAACAATATTCACACAAGTCTTGCGCTTTGACCGTAACCTGTGAAATAACACTATGAATATGATAATGTTAACACGTCCGACCCTTCGCTGCCTCAGAATCGTTTCCCCACACTCCGCTTAGTTATTATTCGGGCCCGAAAGGATACGAAGAATCACTGGCAACTTTAAGCGTACATGAAACGAGGAAACGAGAACGGGCTATGTTGCACGACAACAAGCGTGTGCGTCCCATATCCAAATCCATCTCTTACCGCCCTCCTCCGATCCTCCGATCGTTCATCAAGGCGTTCCGCACGTTAGTATGAGAACGCAAGAACATCGAACGACGATACCCGAGCCCGAGGTTTGGGAGCTGTGCGTGTCTAGACTTCTTAGCTGTGCTGAAAGAGACGAAGAGGATGTTCGGAAGCATTAGCATTATTAATTAATGTATTATTTATAATATAATAGTATCAATGCTATGGTACGATAGACAAGGCTATACTGTACTAACGATATTTGTCTGTACTTAGCTATGCATAGTGATTCTGTTCCAAGCACGGATGTTGGATACAGACGCGGAATCTGGAACGGAAATGGAAGCTTGAGAAGAGGTTCTAGGTACATCGAAGCATGAACAATGAAGTGAGATGAGCTGGTCTCCTTGCCACGACTAGAAGAGAAGAGAGGGTTAGAGGGAAGGATCCGACTGCAACACCTACTGTATGTACACACGACCCACTGCACATACACAGCCACCGCTCACTCCCCACAAAGGTGGGTTCCGTTAATAGATACTGCAACGATCACTTATCAATACAGGTCCTGACTTCAGAGATCGAGAAGTAGAAACTAGCTGTCAACGAAGGACACGGAGAAGAGAGAGTCAATCCACGAATCATGGATCAAAACAAGAGGAGGAGATCAAAAGATAAGGTAGATCATAAGTAAAGCAGATGATAGAGTAAAGAGAGGTAAGTAGATCCCGCATCATCCATCATTCATCATCCATCATCCATCATCCATCATTCACCTGTTAAAGAAGCACAATGTACAAATGAAGGGGAAAAGCTCTCGGACAATGTACCAACAATCCACTTCTTCTTGCGTTTTGCATTGACGTGAGATGGGCACATTAATGTTCTCACAAAGGATTACGTTCTTCCTGTAATTCGGGTTGGGATTAATGATTATAATACATATTATAATTGTTCGGTACGTGATTCTGCTGCTGCTGCAGTCAATACGAGAAAGAAATCAAAGAATTATACGTACATTCTACACGTCACCGAGCAAGGTTAACGTTGATATTGATACTCAGCGCTCCCCCGACAAGCGAGGAATCGTACCTGATCACAAACACTTCCGCGCTTCTCTGCCCTGTCTCTCCTTAACACAATATCAATATTTATCATTCATTCACTCACTCATCCATTCATTCATTAATATTAAGGTGCCTGAGTCCATTGGAGTCCAGAATCTAGAGGTCAGATTCCGGTGTTTGTGAAGCTGCCAGACCTTAAGCTTGAATCCAAGGTTAATAAGATTAATAATCATAACGAAGCAACTTGTTCATTGATGCACACTATGTAGTATATACTATATACTACACAAGTAAATAATGAGTGTAATCTAACAAAGAAGAGAAGACAGATACTCAAAGAGGCTTTAGATCGTCCCAACCCATCCTAGCACATCCCATCCTATACCATCCCAGCAGCCCATCCCACATCTACACCACATAAAATCTCGGCAGATCTGATTCATTCATTCATTCATTCATTCACTTAACTGACCAACTAACTTCTATAAACTAAACCTAAACCGTGCTAATTTACACTCACGGAGACAGACAATCTCGAAGAAGGGGAAGTCTAGATGGGAAGGAGGAAGAAGGTGTGGAAGTGTTAAAGACAAAGACAAAGACGAGGACAAGGACCGCGGCAGAAGCAAAGCACACTTCAAAGAGCGGGGATCGTACGTTAGTCGTTGTTCTTGTGTTTCTGATTACGATGTACATACAAGTGGTTGATCAGGTACGTACACCGGCACGTCTTATTCACTCACTCACTCACTCAGGCAGATATTCGCGTAGATCCGTCCATTCATCCGTTGATTCCATTCACTCACTCGTGTGTAGCTACAATAGGGTAAACCATGATAATCCAAGGTAATTATGGTATACCTCATGCCGAACCAAATCAAAAGAAACACGAATGAATACACTTTGCGGATAATTCCAATGTGTGTTATTTATTCTACCTCAAGTTAGGCTACGAAATTTCCAGATTGCATACATCGTGGGAAGCTCAAGTCCTCGACCCAAGGCTAGTCCTTAATTGTCTAGGATTCTGGAGATCCAGAGAGTTGGGTGAAGGGGTTCTGGGTGTGAGAATACAAGTAGTTGACTATACGATTGTTAGTGATACTTCCGTACGGGTGCTAATAACCTAGCATCTAGCATGTGTGAGTATCGTGTAATTCAGTATAATATAGACACCCTAATTTGTTCCAAGGATGAGTGAAAACATATGACACTAAAGAATAAATGATCGAAATCCCAGTTAGCTCTAGAACTCCAGCAGCTAGTCTTAAGCTTGGAAGCATGTACAGTACATACAAGGTAGGGTGACTCGACTCCGAGACCGGGTAAGCGGGTAAGCGGGTATCGTATCCGTACGGATGTTTAGATGTTGATGCATGGAAAGACGGAACGGAGCTTTGCCTTGCAACTGTACAGCGTAAGGGAGAAAGTGAGGCTGAGGGACCTGAAATTGGAGATTGGATTTGGAGAGTGGACTGGAAGGAACGAGAATAACCTCCACCGACCGACGGTAAGGTTAATGGTGATGAATGATACGGCGTTAGGACGTTCCGTGTACAAGACATGAAAGGGCGAGTGAATGAGTAAGACCGGGCGGGGTGAGTCATTGGCTCATTGTTTTGTTAGTTGGATTTTGGTGGTGGTATTGCTACTGCTGGTATTGCTGAAGGAAGGAACTCGAAAGCGAACATCTGTACGTCAAGAAAATGTAGGACGCCCTCCGCCAATTCAACAAAACGAGAATTTGAAAAGACATGAGTTAAGGGGGATTTCGGGTATCACTTCGCTGTTGAGGCGTATCGAAGGCGTTGAAGGTGGTGAGTAGACTGCTCAATTCGAGGTGATAATTTGCAAAAAACGAAAGAAGGTGAGGCGTTGTGGGGGGTGAGTACGTGGAGGCGTGGTAAACACGAGGTAGCGTTCTCGTACACGCGTCTATCGTCTAGCGTAGCTGTGAATTGAGCGGGCTGAATGCGCTCCGTGGTCAGTGACAAATAAGAGAACGGGTAACAGAAGCACCACGAATGAGTCGGTCGGCGCCAGAATCAACGAACGGGTTCAACGGGATGAGCAATAGCAATACCATTAACATTATCTATCTATTATCAAGCAACGAACGAGCCAACAACATACACCCGGCCGGGCATCTCGTGCAACGGGATTCACCGGGCATTAGGGCGTAAATGCGCAGAGTCAGAGTCAAAGAGTGGAGAACAGTGGAAGTAATGTGGACCGATTGACTCGCAAATAACAAGCGGCGTCGGGTCGGGAACGCATCGCGTCCAGTTCGGCATCGGGCTGACCCTTCTCCTCTGGGAGTGAGTTCCTCCTTGCGTATGCGCCAAACGGCGACGCTGACATGGGAGGACTGAGCACTCTCAGGAAGGACCGAGGACCGAGCGACGAACGAACGGACTCGACGGGGACAGGAGGGGCTGTGTACAAGAGGGTTTGTTCGCATCCTCGGGCTCGGGAGCACTCACTCACATTGACACATGAAGTCACACAGTGTCACTGTCACTGCTGTAGAGCGAATCGGGTGTAGTAGAGGGACCCCGGAAGAGGTCGGCACTGCCACTGTGTGCCACGCGGCCCAGGGAACGATCAGGGAGCCCCCCGCTGCCCGTCAGATCTCCGATCGCTATATTTGGACGTGTTTGAGATGTGATTATGTAATGGGCGTGAGAGAGATATGCCGAGAAGGAGAGAAGAGTGAAAGAGCGCGGTCGAGTCGAGTGTTTATATACTTTGTGCGTGTCGTTGCCACCTGCTTCACGCTGCTCGTCCTCCTGCTCTTTATATTCGTGTATTTTCACTACTGCTGACATATATATATATATCTATCCAGCACAGATGGCAGCGACCTCGCAGCCCATCTCCATCGCCCGCGACTCCCGCTCGGGAGGAGGCAGCAGTCAATCCACTCATCATCATCACCACCACTTCGCTGCTCTCTCCCCAAACTACATCAATAACAACAACAACCACTTACATCCAAACTACAATAACCTCTCAGCGTCACCGTCGTCGTCGTCGCACCACCTCAACCACCACCACGGAGGAGGAAGTGGTCAACCGTCTTTACTTTCCCAGCACGCAGCCCATCTCGCTAACCCGCGTATGGCTGGGACGTCCCCACGAAGTGCGGAGAGCAGCACGTCCTGGGCTATCCACCCCGGCCCCTTGTTCGTCTCTGCTGGCTCACTGGGCTCGACGTCTGGTAGCCTTGGCGCGGCTAGTATGAGTGGGAGTGCGGGCTCGTTCCGGGCACGCATGTACCCTGGTTGTTCGCCCGCTGCGCCTTTACTAAACCCACTAGAGTGAGTACTCATTCGTATTTTTTTGGGACGTACAACTTTTTGGGCTTCGGCTATCTGTCTTTGCTTTTGATTCGTTTTCGTGTTGAGATGTGAGATGTACTGACTGACTCGTGCTTTGTTATTGTTATTGTAGACCCGACTTCAAGTTCCGCGGCGTCGCCGGGTCGATCGAAAGTGATCATGGATCCCTCATCAACTCTCACATGTCTGAACGTGAGGTCGAGCAGGTCAGTTCACCAACTCGTATTTCTCCTCGCTATTTTTTTCTTTGGCACTCATCATGTATTTGCTTTTTGTGTTTTATATATAGTACCGCGACTTCACATGCTGTGGACTCCCACTAGGCGACCTACACGCCCTCGTCGAACATTTTGAGACAACACACGTCCTTGTTATGGACCCGTTAAATCCTCATCAACACCAGTTACCGCACGCAATAGCATCGCAATTCCATAATGCGACGAACGGCGGCAATGGGAGCCCAATGCAGGCTCACCAACAATCACAACAAGGACAAAGTGCGGGTGACTCATCTTCGCTCGCGGGTGCTCTTGGCCCTTCTTCCTCGTCATCGACTTTCCAGTCGCCGGGAGACGCTCACGTGGCCCCCTCAATAGCGCATTCGGGATTCGATCTGGACGATATGGAATTGGACATGGACATGGAGCTCGAGCCTCCCGAAACTCACAACCACAACAACACAAACATGAACGGCACACACGCGACGTCGCCTGCACCCTCAGCCTCCTCATCGAACAACTCCAACCCATCGACACGCTCGAGTCCGTTAGGTGGTGGTTCGGGACCATTACCTCTCACACAACCGCAGAGGTTCGCTACCGCAAATGGTATTGTGAATGGGATGAATGGGATGAATGGGTTTACAAGTGGAACGAGGAGTAGTGTGAGCAGTCCACCCGACACACCTCTTTTGACGACGCCTGTCTCACCGTTTGCCAATGCCAATGCCGCTATTGCTAACATCCCGTCTTCCTCTTCCTCTTCGAATTCGAATACGACGACGGCGTTCCCGTGGGCTGCACAGACGCAAGACGGGCTTGCTACACCGATGGCTTCTCAAATGTCCTCAACTCAAAACCAAAACCAAAATCAACAGGCGGGACAGCAACAACCACAGGCGCCGACAGGACCGAGCGCGTTCGATAACGTCCACCTCCCACCGAAACACCTTCACGGTAGTGGGATGTTCTCCCACCCCTACGCAGGCGCCTCCTCCGTAGGCCGTCGACACCCTGCTCATCCACTCTCCCCACTCAGCAGCGCGAGTTCGACTGCGAGTAGTACGCCTGGTACTACTTCTCCCGTCTCCAACTCTGGCTTTGCCTACCCACCCGGTTTTGGAGGTGTAGGTGGACACCCGCACGGTTTGCATCATACGCAGAGTCTGTACGCGTTGAGGCTTGCGAGACATGCTGCGGAGAGGGAGGAACAGTTGGTGAAGAGAGCGTTGAATGGGTATGCAGGGTATGAGGATTATTCGAGGGGGTTCCCAGGTACGGGCGATCAAAATAGCCCTGACGTGGGCATCGGACTTGATGGAGGATTAGGAGGGATGGGAGGGGGGATGTCGATGAGTAGGATGGGAAGTGTTGGAGGGGTAGGAGGTATTGGGCCGACGGAGAGTGCGATTCATCCTGGTTTGCTTTCCGGTAACGCGAATGGTGCGAATGGAGGACAAGTGAAGAGCGAGCCGCAAACAGGGAACGTTAACATTGGGATAACGTCACGAACGACACCTGCGCATTCACGTTCTGGTTCTCCTTCATCGGCTAACAACATCGTTTCTCCTTCCGCTCCTGGTCCTTCTGGCTCATCTACCCCTTCGTCAAATACCAATGGTACGACGCGCAAACCCCCACAACCATCAACAACCCTCTCCCGCCCCTCCTCCTCCCTCCTCCTCTCCAAACCCTTCAAATGCCCAACCCCAGGCTGCACAAAATCCTACAAACAAGCCAACGGTCTCAAATACCACGTCACACACGGTCAATGCTCCTTCACCCCTCCACCCGAACTCTCTTCCATCTCCGAGTTAGGCCTCTCCATCGGAGTTTCCCTCAAACTCAATTCCGTGGGAGAGATTGAAGGGTTGGAGAATATGAGTGAAGCGGAGAGGAGAGAAGCGGAGAGGGAAGCGGAGAGGAGGGTGAGGCCGTTTTGTTGTCAGGTTAAGCCGTGTCAGAGGAGGTATAAGAATATGAATGGGTTGAGGTATCATTATCAGCATTCGGGGGAACATGGGGCTGTGGGTCTTAGGATGCTTGCTAGTGGGAGGCATGATGCGACTAGGAGTCAGAGTGTTGAGAGGAGCGATGAGGAGGAGTTTTTTGAGGAGAGTTCTGGGATAGGGAATGGAGGGACGACGGGGTTGACGAGAAGTAATTCACAGACGACGAAAGAAGAGAGGGGAAGAGCGAAGGAAAGGGTTAGGAAGGAGAGTCATGCGACGAGTAGTGCGCCTTCGAGTGCTGCACCTGGTCCCCGACAACCAACCTCCTCTATTACCTCTTCCATCACTCCCGCCGGGACTCCGAACCCATTCATGACACAACCTTTCGCATTCTCTCAACAGTCATATCAGCATCAACGGTCACTCTCTGGTCCTGGCTCACCGTTGTCACAGGCGTTCCCTCCTCCTCCGCAACCGCTTCAACAATCTTTCACTAGTATGTCCTCGACTGGAAACGTCAGCGTAGGAATGAACGGGAATGGAAATGGGAATGGGTTCGTTGCGGTGGTACAAAGTCAACCAGCAAGCGCGTACGCCTCACCGTGGGGTTCTCGAGCGGGTTCGCCGACGAGTTTGACTGCTCCTGGGACTTGGGGGAACCCTATCACCAACCCTACTTCTCTTAATAACCCTTCCTCGGTTAGTATGGCTTCGCCTTCGATGACGAATACGAATTCGCCGCCACGAACTGCATAGATGCGCTTTTCTTTACTTATGTTTTGAGATGGGATTGAGATTGAGATTGAGATTGAGATTGAGATTGAAGTTGTTGGGTACGAAAAAGTAGAATAATGGTTTTGCGTTTTGGTTTCGATGATTTTTTTCGTTCGTTCGTGTACTTACTTACCTCCTTACTTACCTCCTTTACTGAATTTACTGATTCTACCGAATTTATACTGATATTTTTGACTTACTTACTTTTACTTACTTTTGTTCTGATGCGATGTGATTAATGCTGAATGATATAAAAATTCGATACGCTCCTCTCAAAATCAACTTGCATGTTCGTTGAGGTCGTGTGGTGAGCTATTTAGTATTTAAGAAGTTAAGAAGTAATGATAGTCGCATATATTTATGCTTTTCTGCGTGTTTGATTTATCCGTACGGTATTGAGGTTTTACTGTGCATATAACCTACAACCTAGCCTAATATACATACAGTTTTTCATTTTAAACTTTACACAAGAATTTTTTGTCTTCTTGTCTGCATGTATCGAGAACATAGAAACCTAGAAAAACATTCCCGACCCCGACAATCTTCATAGCATACAAGAGCATACCATATCCAAAACTCAACTGTTCATTTGCACCAAGACCAAGGCTTAGGGAAGTTCGAAGGTTTAGAGCTGGGCGAGGAACGTTTCGGCTCTGGTGATCGTAACGTCTGCTGGGGAGGGTTCGACTGCGACGTGGGTTACTTTGCCTTGGTCTGCTACGAGGACGAAGCGCTGTACGTAGATATATACTAATTAGTTATAGTACTTTTACGGAAAGAGAAGGGAGAAGGATAGGATAGGAGAACGTACTTTGGAACGAGGTCCACCCAACAAAGGGGAAGCGTCGAAGACCAAGCCGAGGGAGGACACGAACTCGCCTTTGTCGTCTGCGATGAAGTGGACGGCTGTATTTTCGAATACTTGTTTATTTAGGTGAATGTGAGTAAAGGAGGGGAGGAAGACACTCACGAGTGTCTTTACCCTCTGTTAACTTCTCTTTCCATGCTCTATCGATAAGTAAGTATGTGTGAGTTTTCACATTATCATATTTTATTATTTTAATATTGTGAAGAGAGAGGGGGGAGGGAAGGAGAGGAAGGACGTACTGAACGACGAAAGCATCATTAACTGCGACGATGTAGATGGCTGTAATGCCTTTGGCGATGAACGCAGCTGCGTTGGAGATGTATCCTGGTGCTTGGTTGTTGCACGATGGTGTGAACGCTCCCGGTACACCGACCTAATACCACAAACGAACCATGCATACAAACGCATACAACCAGTCAAAATCACTCCAATCAGATACAAAGAACAAATCGAATAAGAAAAAACAAGGAGTAGAAAGAGACGCACGACAACGACTCTCCCCTCTTTCAACTTCTCACTAAAATCAATCGCCTCAGTGGGGTTCCCACTCGCCTTGACTTTCTTCCCGGATGCCTTGTCGTGAATGGAGGCACCGACGGTGACTTGGGCTGCGGAAAGGAGATTAACTGCTGCAGAGTGGGCGGCGTCGGCTGCTGAGGTGATGATAGATGCCATTTTTTCTTTTGGTTTAATTGGTTAAGTTATGAGTTTTGAGGTGAATTGTGTGGTGGGATGAATGAGAGTATCGAGACAGGACAGGATGAGATGAGAGAAACATCGCGATTATGGTCAGACTGTATACTTATGACGTCATTTACTACTTCAAAAAAAAATCCATATTTCCTCGCTTAACACACACTCTCACCAAGCTCACTGTACACGAATGATTTACTCAGTCTGGAGCTATCTAACCCTTGTATTAGACTTGTTATACATGTTTATACACCGATTTTTTGGATTATTTGACTTTCCTGCTAATTCGCCACTCCGATCAAGAAAATAATTGATTTAATGATTAATATCAAAATCACTCTTTATTTCCCAAATTTCATTATTCACATTCCTCGACCGACCAAGATCTGGTGGTCGTCCTGTCGATCATCACACCCTCGAAAATCAGCCTAGACTTCTCTGGGCGACAAAACTACATATCAAGTTTGGTGCCAGGTGTAGATCTGGATTCTGAATCTGAATAGCCACCGCACACCTGTATCCACCTACCTACAAGACCTGCCTGACGCAACAACCAAAATCCCGACTCTCGAGTCTCGAGAGAAATCAAGATAATTCGATAATGACGATTTAATAATTCTATGCTTATTTGTGTAACAGATCTATAGATAGGTAATCAGAATTTGAAATTCCGGACTGTTGTGGGGAACCTGGGATATTGCTGTACAGCTGGGGCTGAGACTGTGGTAAGCACTAGTTAGCCAGGCACTTATGTGCATATGACTGACTGATGGCTTAGTGTTTAGGGGGGATCTACAATATAGTCCAACAGCATGCCATTCATGTAAATAATTTGACTTGCGGGACCGAAACCGGCGAAGGTCTAGGGGTGGGTAATGTCGGTACTTGCTCTTGACCGACTACGGCGTTACATACATAGGATAGGGATCCCGGCCGGGTAGGGCGCGGTGTGGAATGTGATTCATTACAGGTGAAAGAAGGAAAGAGACGTTGCAATCTTGGATAGGCGCCACCGGTGAGTGGAAGTGTTATGACCGGAACTGCGCCAACGCGTGAGTGAGTGGGTACCGTACTACCAAGCAGGCACTAGTACTGGTGGTTGTTTTTAGCATAGCAGAAAGGAGATGCATAGTTTAGATTAGCTTGGTCTAGCCAAGCTTGGATTGGATTGGGCGTGTATGTAGAAGACATAGATAGACGCGTATGCGCGAACCGCTATCCGCGATGCTCGTCGATGTATACGTAGACGCTTACTATACGTGCGCTGTATGTATAAGTATAGACCCGTCATCAGTCATCACCAACACGAACGTGCCAGCTAGCTCAGCGGCTGACTCTATCCATTTAGTTAGGACGTGTTCACTGACGCGGAGTACAGGATCGATAGATTAGACAAGACAAGCATAACGTACGAAGGTAAGTAACTCTACATTAGAGTCTAATCGTGAATGAAGGCCGCCCCGCTGTACAAGCGATCGTTTCATATCCACATGCACATATACATATGCCACTCCATCATTGGCATGCCGGGTCTAGCAGTAATGCAAATCTCTCGAGCTTGCGTCTAACATCGCTTAAATTCCACCTGCTCTTTGCAGAGTGCTAGATTCCGTTGCATGTGAACCTTGTAAAGTAAAAGAATGTCTATCAGTGTATCCCGGCGTCTCATTCCTTCGCAGGGAATCTTCGATTCCTCGGAGTACACAGATCGATAGGTATCAAGTTGTGTATCCACTAGCATACAGTGTACTGAATGGGGCGATATTGCACCTTCTTTCGGCGCTTCCCGATCAGTACCAGCGCAAGTAAGCCATGTCTATCCCTTAGGGATCGTAGGGTAGCTTCGAAAGTCGAGGACCGGATGATCCATCCGAAGTTTCATTTCTCTCCCCCCGATCCAATGAATGGGATGAACTTCTGGGCTGGAGGAAGGGGGTGACTTGACCAGTGACGTGAAAGCGAAGTCAGGCGTCAATCATGTACTTGCTCACCCTACTCTCACCTTTCGGATCTTTACTTCGTTATATGCAATCTTGCATATCCAGTGGTCCACTACAGATGCATAACATCAAGATCAATAAACATGAACAAATACCAAGAAAACCCTTACCAAATCAAGCCAAGCCAAAGCCTCGCCTCAAATCAGTGCCGACTATTGTCAAACCAACGCACCACAAGAGTTTATAATTCTATATTTACACAATATAACCTCCGCGAGCGTAACTCGTGCCATTGATTCTGATTCATCAGCCGGCGTCCGTCTACAGCCCAGTCAACCCCGTCAATCAATATTAACGTTGGATGGGGCTCTCTGTCTACGGAATCTAAAAAGTACGGATGCGTGTGTAAGCATCCACCATCATCGGTGCGAAGTTCAGCCCTTTCAGCCCACACATTCCTTTGTTTGCCGTAAACTGTTCGCCGTAAACAGTCCATCCACGCTCCATCTAACTCTAAGTCTCTACTTAAGGAAACTATCTCACGAGCTCAGACAACCCGTCTGCTCGGTCAATCTATCCATCTATCCCCTGTCGTTGAAATCCCCTGAATCCGACGCAAGTCACAGTTCTATCGAAACGAACGACCGAACGAATGTACATTCGGTCGGATCGGTTGGATAGATGACGATGAGACATCAGACGATTCGAGGGCGCTCCGTCAACATCTCAGTGCCCAAAGTTAACACTGTAGGCATTCACGTTGAGATGGTAATGATGGAAGTTTATGTTTTTACCTTTCTTTTCTTACAGTTTCGTCTGTTATAGGATAACAATTTGTTCGGGTCCTTGTACGGACGCACCTTTGTTTTCGTTTCGGTTTCTAGGAAGTATCCGGATGGTTGAAGTCATATCAAAAGAGAAGAAGAAACGAAAGACATCAGAGATAGGATACAAAGTCAAAGCCGAACGTAAGTCTGATGACACCACAGTCCGATCCTGTGGCCACGAATCGCACGGAGTCGTTGCAGGAAGAGGGACATAACGACGTAATAATATTGCAAAGTGCAATATGCGTGCGAATTCACGTGCCCAAGGGTCGACGATTATTTCGAATACATACGAAGGTTAGAATAAATCAGATACGAGATTATGGCCTTCGTCATTTACTTCACGAACGATTAAATACAGAATCCTTGTTAACTGCGAGTATACAAGTATTCATATAACAAACTCATATAAGCACGGCTTCCGTCGGCCTTCCGATGTACTTCTTGCTTATTCTCCGTCATTTTGCTTCCTCAACTAATTCATTTGAGCTGATAGACTAAACCATTTCATCACATCACCTACCCTAGTCTTTGGTACAATCATTCAAACTACGCTACTTATGGTACACATTTCGGTTAACACATGCGAGACAATAGACAGAGAAATAACGTAATAATAAATGTATATGCACGGACGCACGTAGGACATGATGTCGGGATGACGAAATCTCATCCCAGGCGTCTTCTCGGTATTTCCAACACAGACAGACAACCGAGAAAGGCCAAGTGGCAGGCACAAGCCCATACACCAAACTATGTACAAGCCACTACACACGTTCTTCAATTCCGCGGAGTTCGAGTTCGAGTCTGCAGTGGCCCTCCTGTGCTAATGTTCAGTTGTTAGTTAGCTTCTCCCTCCCCCTCATCCGCTGTTCCGCTCAGACCTCATGTATCGATGTAACTTTGCCCTGATCGGAAGGGAAGGTATATTTAACTCGGAAATGGAAGCCGTAGAGGGGGTTTCGCTCAAGGGCGAAGGACCGAGGGAAGGGAGGGAAGAGAAGAAAAGAACCGGGGGAGGACGTCACTATATGAAAAGGCAAGGAGAAGGTAATGGGGTTAGTATTTACCGCAGGCGATGTAGGAGAAGTGGATAAGTTGATAAATGGAAGAAAGCGGAGACGTTGAGAGCGGGTAAAGAGACTCCGAGGAAGTATGTCGGTGCGGTGGGACGGGATGAGGTGAGGTGGGATGGAGAGGCTGGACTTAGTTGTGAGCGAGAAGTATGAGAAAAAAACAACCTAATTGAGTAACATGCATGTTTCATCCTGGCTTGCGTGCATCGTCGAGCCCTATACACCTTAGGAATCTAGGCGGTAAAGAATAGTAATGTTCACAAGGTGGTGTAGGAACTACAGATATCCCTAGTGGCGTTTCTCGTTTCCGGGGGGATTTGGCTACGGAGAGAGTAATCAGACCAAAATGGAACCAGGACAGGGATAAGGACCAGGAGTACCGACTAACATCCCGCGATACAATACCAGTTCCAGATGCAGCACGACAACTCTAGAGGCTCCGAGGAAGTATCACATCATCCCACTGTCATTCGAGAACACCCATATTTGAGATGCATTGAGTAGAAACAGTACCTGCAGGGCACGCCATGAATGTTTTTCTGTAGGGACACGCTGTTTCCGAAAATAAGAGTATATCAAGGGCCATCCGAACGAAATTAACAAGCGTGAACTACGGGTGGCAAGAAGTTGTCCAAATCCATACCGGACAACAATGTTGCGCTAGCTAGGAAGACTGATGACATAACCAGGACCAGGACCGAAACGGGCTCTCTATGCGCCGCTGCGATATTCTGGTTCGTACTCTGAGAGTTTAAGAGACTCCGAGGGTATTAGCATTAATGAATTAATGAATGCGGTGATTGACTGGAAATTTCCGTACGATGTGCTAGAAGTTGGACGTCGCCTATTCCAAGAGGAAGTCCGGAATGCGAGGATGAAGAACTATATACCGGAATGATCTTGAACGACGAGCACGGCGGAGACAGGCGAACAAGCAGAATGTAAAGGGAGCAATACCAATCCAGGCCAGGTACGTCGACATTATCAATCGGAACCCTCTACTTCCAAGGCAATCTGCCGTACACTGCAGTTCACAACGCGACATGTCAACGTCAACGTCAGCAGACTAAGCCTAATTGCTAAGCTAGAAGTTCAGGGACTCCGGAAGCTTTTAATCGTATTCTTCGGGATTCATTTCATATCGTCAGTCCGTCAATTAATTGGGTGGGGATACACGGTTTACAACGCGATGGAAGATGCGAGCTGTGGGTAAACCATGCCTAACAATTATGCACTGTGAGAGAAATACAGACGTGGTGCAGGCATTTTGCGAGGTTGAGGCGGAAGAGAGAAAGCAACGAGGAGTACGAGAAGAGAGAAGAGTTGCGGTGTGATCGCACAATGTCCTGCAAAGGGAAGATCGATGGATCGCCCAGGATCGTCCATGTGTCTAATTTCAAAACCGACGATTACTAGAGACCTTGTATCGCATACAGTTCCAATTTAGACGATGTCGAAAAGTTGGTGCTAGGAGACGAAACCATGTTGCACGAGATCACGTTTGTGTAGGACCCGAACGTCGAAGTACGAAGAACGAAGATAGCTACGCATCGCGCAGGGGGTTGCATGCATGTAGAGCAGAAAGGAGTCGGAATCAGGACCGCACGAGGGACGCATTCCTTAGATGTGGTATCATTAGTATGTAATAGAGCATTAAGTGTTAGCAGAGAAGAATGTTCGTGAGAACTCGTAGATCAAGAGTGAATGCAACGCAGGAGATACGTAGGAGATAGCGAATAAGAAGTACGCGACGACGCTGTTTACTTTACGTGGAAGCGACCATATCGTCACTCGTGGCGTCAGACAAGCGTGCCAACCCTTGAGATACTAGGGCCACAATTCAGTCAGTAAATGCATAGTCTTCTGGATCTCCGCACCATAGAGGACCATATGGAGCAGATTCGGGCACGAGCCGTGAGGAAGCCTAACGCTCTCCTCGCTGGCAGGTTGCTCATGAATAGCGGGGTATCAATACAAGGAACCCACGTCGTGTCATGCTGGACGATCACTCCGTAATATAGGCATTATACTGCTTCATGAACAATGGTAGGAGACAAAGTCGGGCCACATTGTATGCTTTTCGGACCGAGCATAATATAGAAGATGTCGTCGGATGCAATTGATACTTAGTAGCCGAAGAACTGCCCCACGATCCATTTTGCACATCTTTCAGAAAGGACGACATGGACGAGTTGCACTTTCTGAACACTTCGAAGGCATTGCTTTGTACCACGAGATATCATACGAATAACTAGTAGGAAAAGTAACGGATGATTTAATGCAATGAATTTTAAGTGTGATACAATGGACGTTACCCTTACCATTATTGATTACTCCCTTAGCGGGCGATAGAGGAAGAAGCATGACTTCATTTGCGTAGGTGCCACCACATCACTTCATTTGATAATTGCACACCTCATTCCTGCCTACCAAGCCGCGATACAGTTCCATTGATCCAGAGGTGTTCTTGAAACAGAGCTCTCTTTGTTGCATACATCGGAAGAACGGATTAAAGAACAGCAGGCCTCGTATCATCTGTGAAAACGTTGCGATCGGGCGATCGAGGAAGTAAATTATGAGATCTGCACTAGGAAAATAAGTGTATGCAACGTCGACCATTTGGCTTGCCAAGGCTACAGGTTGAATATACTGGTGAAACGAGGGCCTCCGAATATGAATGCAGGTACGGCCTAAGGCCCGCAGTCCGGTAAATGACGCATAGCGGCAGGCGTAACTGCGGCGAGCGACGTGTCGGAAGAGTTCAGTACATGCATGCGTCGTCGGTGAGGAACTAACACCGTCCGACATGAATAGCACGGGGTCCTGCCGACGTGGTTGATCGTGAGCTTCGATGGAGGACCCGTATGGAGCCGCAAGGGCAGTGACCTTGTTTTCCGAATGTCCCGATGTCCGTGCTGCCTATGATTGGAAGCGAAAAAGCTTGTTCCTCAATCAACCAACGTGACTACGGAAACATCCATTTGAATACAGAACGGTGTTCTTCCGAGACATTAGGCGCTAAGAGGCTTGGGACCGTGTAAACGAAACGGCTTGCGACTTAGTCTATATTGATCCATATTGAATCAAGACAGCAATGGAAGTCTCGTAACCCCACGCTAAATTCATTATAATCCGTAGAAATTCAGTAGCAATACATGCAACACGGAATGACGGGCAGTGCGTGGATTAAGAAGAAACGCACAATATTGATGCCTCAGACGTCTACTAAATGCCTCCGTGTCTTTTGTAGAAACCATCCCGACACCACGAAACCTCGATGTCCAACATAGGAAACTAGAAGATACCGAATTCCTCGCCTCATCCGAAAACCTACGACTGTACGTCGCGGGCATGTGTGGCGATGCGTTATGCGCCAACCACAGTAACAGATGGCGAAGCTTTTCCCGTTGCATCGGTCCCCTGACTTTCTTCGGAAGCACACTCCGACAGATTCAGTTTGTCAACAGCTTCCGCAAGAGTCTTGCAATCTAAAGTGCTCTTTTCGTCCTTTGCATTGTCGGGGCTCGACACGTCGTCCGAGTTCGTCTGTGAATCCGATTCCGATTCGGCATACAATACTCCGTCGTCATCGTCTGCATCATCTTCAAAGTCAAGCTAAAAAGAATACAAAATGCGTAGAAACGCAAGTTAGCAGAAGAAATATTTAAGGATGAGGTAATGAAATCAGATGGAATAGGAGTTGCTCACCGGGTCATAAACGACTCTAATCATCAGACTGCAGCTAGGGCAAGTTGCAATATCCTCATAGTTTGCGAGTTGTGCGCGCGAAATCTCGAACCTGTCACCACATGGACAGGGATAGTGATAAACACCCTTCTCTTCATCCCATGCCATGTCCTCAATCTCGATCTCGTCGTAATATGCTCCCATTTTCCGAGTTAATCTTGTTTCGCCCTCAACGAAAGGAGGTATTTCGGATACAATATGGACCTTTTTATACAGATATGCTTAATTAGAATATATTCTGTTAGAAAAACAGCGGAGGAATGCGGACGTACAGAGTAAAGGAAATGAGCGACGAAGCCAAGTATCAAGTGAAATTTGACTGAGTCGTTAAGTCACGTGATAAATCACCTGACGTCCAATGATTCATGCTCAGTCAGCAAGTTTTTTTTTCTCATTTTCCAACTTCTTCCTCCATAAAGCTTTACCTGCATGGTCTGCCATGTATTTACTGGAGTAAAACCTATGTTTAATTCTCATAAAACATATTCTGTTATTTTGTTTTGTCTGTGCTATCGGCTTATGAGAAACAAGGCTCGACTAACTTATAAAGAGTCCTAAACATACAATCCTCGACGCTGACCAGAAGAATCTTCGATGTTGCAGGTTCATTGTGCTACTCCAACTTTATCTTGTTCCCAAATCTACAGTGTACAATGGGACATCATTTGTGGTCCTATCGCCTCTCGTGACGCAACTCGTCATAGCTGTCATTCTCTGTGGTGCGCGTGATCATCCCGTTATACATAACAGAATGCAACCTTGTTTTCAACATACAGCAATAGACTAATAGCGACATAGAGACCAATGATAGAGTTTCTATGTTCCTTTTACCCCGAATATATCCGTGTTACCTCCTATTGACAATACTGGTATGTTGCTTTCCAAGAATATGTCGACGACGACGTATGCTAACCAACGGTATTCAGTCAAGTCGCTTATCGACACAGTATATCCGATGAATGAAACGTCCAGTTTTATTCTATTTAGCGGAGCGGTTTCCTTCGATCAGCACGTACACGAGATCAGAATTGCTATTATGGAATTTCACCAGAAGCAGAAAGTAACACTGTACCACGCGGCGTGTACGGTTTAAACGCTTTTCCCTGGACATTAGACGTTATGTGGAAAGGTGTGCAGAGTATTATCAACAAGTCGTGACGGAATACTCCGTCTTCTAATCAGAATTTCTGGTTGCTAGTGCTCGAGGGTGGCTCGGATGTTTCATCCACTTCTCGCGGTAAATGGGTCATGGCGAATTTGTCTTCACATACACCCAGCGCTGATGAAAGGCGGAGTATCGATCGACTCAGATTCCTTGTGGAACATCATGTGAATAGGTTCTTTCAAGAAAGGCTGGTCTTTGACTTTCAATAGGAGATGAAACGCCTCGACTAGCGTTACTGCCTCTCGGCATTGATTTAGCCGTCTTCTCCTCGAGCAAGCGTGAGCTCCAGCACACGGTGCATTGAATAGAGTTCACCTTGTGGTCTAGCATTCCTTGATAGATTGTATAAGAAGTCGAGTTTCATGCCATCTTTCAGCTCGGTGCTATTCAAATTTTACCACTTTCATTCTTCACGTTTTGAATAGGAAGTTCGACTCTTGACGGAGTTCTGAGTCTATTGAGTACGCTGGACTGCTCGGAACGCCCGTGACTTTATGCCGATACGCTGCATACGCAGCGATGCGTGCTTGCGTTGCCACATTCTTGGATGAACTTTAAAATCTCAGAATTGTCAACTGTCACGATTTCCAGGGTTCGAGAGTTGGCGTCTAATGCTTTAAACTTGTCCTGGGTCCATACTTAGAGCAAATTGGTAAGATTTTCAAACTCGCATGACCATTGAATCCGCTTCACTGAAACCTGCTTGATCTGTTGTACAGCGACCAGGTGCATGTTCCGACTTGGTGCAACGCCTTCCATGCTTTTGTCGGAAGACGTGCCAGATCCTCCCTTGACGGTGATCTTTCCCGCCGCCCCTCCGAAAAGTACGTCAAGGATAATCTTGGTGTCGGAAGAACTTACAAGTTTTTCAAGCTAAAGCTTAATTTCAGCCTGGGGTTCGTTACGTTGGCTTGTCACCGACCGCTCACATGTTTCATCGAACAGCACTGTCCGGTGTCCACAACGTACCCACCTCCGCGATTCTCCGTCGCCCAGAGCTCGTCTCATGCCCACAATGCATCACTTCTGGCGCTACAAGTTGAGAAAAAGGTAGGCGTAAGGACTGTAACGCCTCCGGCCCTTTCATTTCCGTGTCGTGTGAATGGAGCTACTCGATGAATTGACACTTCCTGACTCGGTGTCTACGCACTCTCCAACGGAGCATGATGCCTGTGAAGCAATCTAGGCTCAAGCCCCCCTCACTACGTCCCCGCAACTTGCTCGCCCCGGCTTGTCCCTCATTTAGTCGAGGTACTTCAAGGGTTCCGGCGCAGTTTACGAAGGGCCGCCGGACGGTCCAAGCTGGAGGGTCATGCCAGGGAGGAGCAGTGGCTCCCGGCGGAAAGTAAGTGCGTTCGTTCAGAGTCAAATCCGTAGGCCGGTGTCCCTACTATAGAACATACCAGTACAACCACGTCAGCTCCGCAGCACTGTCTTGCTAACTAACTTTTCACCGCCTCAAAGTACCCGGAGGTGCGGCGGAGTCATCGACGGCGTCCACAATCCGACGCTTCCGATACTTCTCCCGAGGCCGACGCCCGAACTATTTCCTTTTATGGATGTTCATGCGCTATTTATAGCGAACGTGAGTCCGTGGAAAGCATGAGCGGATTTATAACGTCTGTATCGCATAACGATGCTGACTGACACGATCTCGAGAACCATCCTGAATCTACTGTAAATTGTAGTCTAACCGGGTATGCTCCGCTCCGGTTTGTTGGTCAGTTCAGGGTTATAATTTGATAATAAGCAAAGCATGTGAATCATGTTTAGGAGAGAAGTGGTAGAAGTCTGTAGAGGCGGCTCATTCCTATCGAGCGGAACGAATATAACGAGATAAGTTGTTACGTTCTCTTATACAAAGTTATCATAAGCCATTATCTATGAGGTAAATAGATGACCGAAGGTTGTTCAAATTTACATTAGTTTAGCAGCGGAGTCTACTAGTGTCAAATATCTCTTGCACGTACTCGCACTTCAGTCCCACCCTGCTTTCAAATTTGCGTAACGGATCTTCATAAGGACAGATATACTGGTAATGAAAACATGACGATGAAATGAATACAAAAGAATACACAAGTTGTTGATACTGCCTCTTTAAAGCAAGGTATAGGTACGATAAATAAATGAGAAAATCTAGATCAACGTAAGATATATGACATGGTATACGATGAAAGGAGACTGGTGCAATCCGGACAAGCAAAAGAAAGTCCGAGGGACTAGTCTAGGGGGTTGGTGCAATACTTCGGTAAGGTTGTTGCACCTCGTCTATGAGTCCTGTTCTATTGGGTTTCCATCATAACATATGGTATGGCGCATTGCGGTAATTAGGCGTAATGTACACCTTGCGGACGCGACACAGGATCAAACAACGGAGCATATGCGTTTGCTCCGGCCATTGTAGATCTGAACTCCTCCTCTAAGTGTACCCTCTTTCTCCGGGCACGAAGACGTGAGAAAATGTAGAAGGCAACTGCAGCAAGCAGGAGTCCAGCAACTACGGTGACAACGATGAAATGCCAAGACTTGTAATAAGGCCCTTTGTTCCTGTCATTGACGTCACGGGATGGCCGGTTTAACGAGCCAGAGTCGGCATATCTTTTGTCTGGGGAGAATGTTTCGCTTCGGCTTCGGAGAGCAGGGGTAGTTGCGAGCCGCTCTTGTCCACTCCGCCTAGACGCACGCTGACAAAATCCGCGTGCGCTGCAGTGGGGTCAGTCATAGAGAGGAGTTGGATGTACGGATCAGCAACGGAGGAATTTGAACCATCAATAAAGTCGCCGAAATTGATTAATAAATAAGTGTTGCGCACTGTCGCCTGATTAGCAAATCGATTGGAAGATGTTTTGATTGATAACTTACAGAAAGCCATGCCGAGGATTCCATCTATTTCCCCGAACTTGCTAAAAGATGGTAGTCTTTGCTGGAACTGACAAATACTTCAGCCAACTAAACAAACACAAGGACTGCTGATACGTACGGTTGACTTGCAAGATTTAGACTGTCATGTGGACTCATTTTGCTCGAGCATGGTCAAATCCAAGGGTGCAATTGGATACTTGACTCCACCAAGGGAGAAAGTAACGTTCAGCTCATAGTCGCAAGGCACTCGCCAGTAACCCGGAGAATCGTCCTGAAGGACAAACACTACACCCGGTACACGTCCGTAGATAGCATATGCGATCTCTCTAGGAACCTGAGGGTAAGTGAAGCCTGTGTCGAACATGACGTGGAACTGGTTTGCAGTACCCTACTTTGCTGTCCTGGAGAGCCGGTAGCTTCGTCTGTTTCGTGATATTCTCAAATGTCTGGATAACGGACCCAATTGTTAGTTGCCCAGCTTGCGGTGCTGTGCCTCCGAACCTCTCATCATTCATGCGGGTGAGAAGGACGGAAATGAAATTTGGTGTCGAGGTATTTTGTCGGAAGATCCGGTCGAGCGGAGGTGCCAAAGTGGAATTGACCTTCGCATGTCTTTCCAAGGTGACAGATGGTCCCAAGCCAAGTATGCCATCCTCACGAGGCGCATCGGGAGTCAGAAAAACATTCACTTTGAAACGTAAACTTGTGTTTAAAAAAAACAGACAAGCAAATTACATTATCTGAATGACTCACGATAGGTTTGACCTTTAACTGCGAAGTCGTCAACCCCATATCGGCTGTGTTAATAAACCCTATATAAACTGCTAAGCAAACGACAGAAGACAGCACACGACGGGGATGGCATTCCCTTTACTGGGCCACCTGCATAATCAATTTCGTTCGGAATGCTGTAATTTTTTGTTCCAAGTTCGTCTCCTTTTACCTATAGGTCGGAGCTTTATAAACACGACATTCGTTACGACCCATGTTTCGCTGTTTGGGAATCTAATCACGCACCTTACAGTATCAATCAAGACCTCGAACGATTTGCCACCAAGTGTGATGTACGTAAAATAGAGTGTGTCCCCTTGGCTTTTTACACTTGTACTGCCATTCCCGAAGGCACTAATATCGACAGCTCGTTTGTCTAGTGAACTCGAAACGGACGATCGAGACCGACCAGTAAAAGGGAAAGAGATCGCTTCAACCGAGGTCGTCATGAGAAGTGTGCCGGTCAATGCGCCGAATGTGCCAGAGAGACTCGTCACCTTCATGTCGGAAGAAGGGGGACAGTGTAGAGGTGTAGAAAAAAATACGTTTTTCGGGCATGGCTTTATACCATACATGAATGAGAGTATGCTGGTGCATCGCATGGACTCTGGCTGAGTCTCATCATCGCTGTGCAATGCGGGTAACCGTGTCTCTGTGTGCCACGAAGAAGCACAGGTCATGAATCACTGCTCAAGGAGTATTCGCCACTATTCTCGTTCATACTGATAATGGATTCTCTTTCAACTATTTGCATAGCTGGGCTCCTTGTGAGCAGCAGTCGATGTCAAATTTAATACTACAAAGTTTATAGTAGGTTAGAGAAACGTTCGTGACGAAGAAACGTAACAGCTCTGCAAAACGCACCACTGCAAACTTTACAGTGATTCTGAGACACTTGTTCCTTGCCTTGCAATTAGTACCCAGAAAAAAAGACCTAAATTTATCTTATGTAATCGATTATATGGCCATGCAATTAGGAACCGATCGAAGACAACTGCTACATATTTGTGTCAGAGACAGTACTAGAGACATGGCTGTGCTATACTTTTTCATTAAGACTGGTGATGCAGTTTGTAGTTGTTAAGAGGGAAAACTTAAGGGGGGCACACATAGACAAGGGGTGAGGTGATGATTGACTGCTCAGTGTCTCTTGTCCTTATATTGTATGTATTCTAACTGAGACATTATGAAGTCATTGTCTTGTGGTTTGTCTGTTGATGAACTAATCATCTCATAATACTCCCCTTCAACGTCAGGAAAAAGTCTGTTTTCTTATATAGCTTTATAGATCTTATATAATAAAATACACATTACTTATCAGTTTTATTGTAATTATAAGTATTTAACTCTATTATAAAGTAAAAGCAAGTCTTATATACTCTTATAAAAGCTCTATGAGTATTATTCATTAATATAATATGGTAAATGTATTATAATAGTCTTATATAAAGGGTATATACATTTTATTAGTTATATATAGAGAATAAAAGCACTGTAATAGTATTATACTTGAAGAAAAAGGTTTGTATCTAATATACAATATAATAAAGAGGTTTTTCTATACTTATAATTTGTATAAAAGTTCTATTAATGTTTATAATATCTAGAAACTCTGTTTGAGAGGTTATAAACTTAATAAATATATAGTACTAGAATGTAATGTGCACATTACAATAGTATAATAAATATTAAGCAAGTCGCTTAGATTATGTAATCATCAAATATCACATGGGACTTAGTACTTAAATCTTGGTGTGGCACTCGTCCTCATCA